GGCGGGAGCCCTCTATTTTCGGCAATAGCTTTTTTCCTGGCCGTTTAAATCCTAAGTTACTTAGGGTAACATCCGACGGAGTCCCCTAACTTAGAATTACTAGGAGGTGATCTTAATCCGACGGTCGCTAGACCTCTTTCGGCACCGTCTTACATTCATTCACTTCACCGGTTCTACAGTAGCCGTCGACTACTGTCGACTTCACCACCCCTGAATCTTTTAGTCGTCGAGCTGGCACCCTCGTTAGAGGGGTAGTAGGTTTACGGGCGAATTAATCGTGCGGGTCACCGCGCGAATGCTCATCTACGTTGTAATTTCGCCGTTAATCGTAGCCGTTATTAGCAGCACGATCTTAGGTGAGTATACTTTATAGTACGGATAGTATCGCATCATGATGGCTAGGGTTAGATTCTACCCATAGGAGAAGATATAAATGGAACTAGATGATACTCACGGTCAGCGTAATTAGTTAATATAGCGATAGGCGGACTTACATCATTAAGGCTAAAGGATAGATCTAACGAAGGGTAGTTAGTCTGCGGTAGAGTGCCGATTTAGATTTTTAGGGCCATAGATTAGCTAGTGTAAAAAGGTCGGGGAGTCAGGTGATAACGAGGCGTCTACGGGGTGTAGGCGGCTTCATTCGCCTCGTGAATCAGCAGATACGTAGTTTCGGCTCGGGTAGGAGGAACGAAGCTGAGGCGTCTACTCGTAGAATAGAAGAAAGACATAAAGAATGCAGTTCAGAACTTAGGGCGTTCATTCCCCCCCGAAAAGCGTACGATAGTCATCCGTCTTTATTAACTTCGACGAAGTTGATAATTTAAGGGGAGGCTTCCATAACGGGCCCCGTTCTAAACCCTAGCGCTTAGTGGAGTCTTATGCCGAAATAGCCCTTTAAGAGACTACTATTCATAGTATGATCAGAGCGCGAGAGTAGAAACGATCGATCGCGGAGGGTTGACGAAGGATACTATTGAGTTATGCGTCATCAGCCAACTACGGCGGATTTCTACGCCGTTAGTACCATTCCTTTTTCGTTATCCAAGCGTCTAACGAGCCTATCTAACGGTGTGGCGGCCCCTAGCGTATAGCTCCCGTACTACGAGTAAGTGCGCTCGGTATAATACCTATTTACCATATTTGTCCATCGAGTCGGCCTATTACTCAAGCTGAACCTCCAGAGTCCGCCGTCGAAGATTTCTCCTCTATCCCCGACAATTACGATCCTACCCCGAGACCTCGGTTTCGCGGACTAGAAGCGCCCGAAAAGCCCTATTACGACCACCTTCACCTCTAATGTACGTATAGACGACTTAAAGCGAACGGAATATATTCATCACTACCTGTAACTATTAGAAGTCTACGAAGGCGAAGGAATGATAAATATCAGCTACCTTTGATAAAGGGACTTATTAAGAGAGTGGATTTAACTAATGAACTAAAAGAGTGTATACTTACGGATCGGAGCCCATTATCGTTAGTCCTACTTATAGTAATCGGCGCCCGCGGGGTACCGAGAAGTAAGCTGAAAAATAGACGATCGAAAGATAGATTATCTAGAAGACGTATTAACGGTGAAAAGAGCGATGTAACCGCCGACGCTCAGTGTAATAAACCATCACTCAGTCTCTAGGTGGCCCGGGGATTAGAAGTAGCTATCTATCAGTCGAAATTTCTCCCTATCGAGCTCGTCGCCGTAGTTTTAACCTTTTCGCGCTCGACGAACGTCTGCTTCTCGCAGTTTCCTATTCTAACCTTTTCAATTCCTCTCTTAGATATCGCATTCTAGTTACTTTATCTTCTCCTTCCTCCTCATCGTCACTTTCTTCAGCTTCGTCCTCATCTATAAACTACCCTACCTTCCTCCTAAATCTATTTAACTTTTCGTCCACCGCGTCGAATCCAAATTCTTCCCCTAGATATAAGCGCCAGTACTAGATTAGTTCGCGCCGAGGAAATTTCACCTAAGCCATTAACATCGCCTCGTCGTCGAAGTCGGTTCTGACGGGAGCGACCCCATAAATAAACACCTTCGTCCAGCGCATTCCCCGTAATGAGGCTTTAGTTCCGGCCTTAATCTCTATCCCGCTTAATACGTTCTAGTTCCTCTCGATAAAGCTTTTTCCGAATTTACTCGCCCTAACGAACTCGAAGATGTCGTGCCCGTTTTATCCATCCTGTCGAAGTAGGACTCGATGTCCGCACCCCGCCTTTATATAACCGTATAACTCTTTCTCCACCCCTTCTTAGAAGACATATCCATCCTCTTCGTTAAAGGCTAGAGGTTTCGACAACCTCCCCGACCGAGTTCGGGTTGCTATTAAGGTAGTTAACTATACGGGCGGCTTTAGGATGGATAGCGTCGATGCCTCTAGTATGTTAATTTTCTAATGTATAGGATAACCGCGCTCCTAAATGAACTTCTTAAGCTACTAGTTCATCACTTCGAGCTCCTCCCTAGCCTTATCATCGGAGTTTTACTTCCATTAACTTAGGAGAGGCAGCGCCTTCTTAGCTATATTTTAATAGACATAGAAATCGACTATGAATCGAGTTAAGTTAGGGAAGCCATTCGCCGTATTAATCTCCACTATCTTTCGATTCACCTCTTACAGGCCGTTAATCGCTCTCTCGTTATCGGAGCTGTCTAAGAGGACTTATAGTAAGTCCCTAGCGACTTTAAACGCTATACGGTGTTCATCGGTCATTTCTAGGATCGTAGGCTTATAGGAGCTTCTCATGTCCGTATCTAGTCCGTTCGATGGCGCATCACCGGAGCTCTCGTAGCTTATGTCATTTACTAGTAGGGTGAGATTCTCCTCTATACCATCCTAATCTCTCATCGTCGCTATAGTAGCTTCGTTGATTCCGAGGTGCTTTACTGCATCGTTAACTCCTGCGTCCCGGGGAGGCGTGCCATTATCAGTTTAAAGTTTTCCAACATCGGGGGGGGAATTCAAGAGGTCATACTGACTGTAAAATGCCTCCGCAGCATAATTCACCTTATTATATTTTTCATGCGTTAAGCACCTAAGCTTCTTGAAGGCCGCCATCACGTCCTCTATACTTAGGTTATCGTCTAGGATGCCGAGGATGTATTAGTAATCCGTCTATAAGTATTTCATCACTCTCTCTACGGCATTAATCTACTCCTAGGTCGCACTATTATTCCCTTCCGTAGTACCACCGGCCCCTTCTCTAGAAGACGGCGGGCTCTTAGTACTTACTCCTTATCCTTAGTCCGTGCTGGCTTGATTTACAGCCTGACGCCTCTTCTCGTCTTCCTTCAGACGGGTAGTGTCCGGTTCTAGCGTCTATTCTAGCGTTACTAGGCTATAGGCTTATCGCGTCGCATTATTCTTTTCACTAGTAATAGATTCGGAGGGAGTATCGCTTACTATCGTCATTTTCGGCTATAAACTTAGCCTAGGGCCGAGATGTATAACGTAAATATCTCAGAGAAAAAGAATTTAGACTGGTTATCCGTGTATAACGTACAGCACTCGGACGCCGATATTAAGGCTCAGGACGGACTAACATCTAGAAAGGCAGTTAGAAGTGAGAGTCCGTAGATAGCGATCCTATATAGGACGCAGCCTTAGAAGCGTTCGAATTAGGCTTCTCTCGCGCGTCTCGGCCATTACCCATTAGTACACTAGTAGGGTGCCCTTTTTACCTGCCGCTCTCGACTTTAGGAGCCGAAATGGGCTCCGACGCGCCATAATACTCGATGCTTGAGGTCCGAATTAGGCCGCTTAGTTAGGAGGGACTATATAATCGCGACTATACATCCGTAGCAGGTGTCGAGGTTCCCTCGATGGTCCATCTAAAGTCGTGTCTTATTTTAATACCTCACATCTATAGTGGCAGCTATTCCGTAGTAGACAGTCTCGAGAGAAAGCCTATACTGAGTACCGGACATAAGATTCAACTAATTCCTCGTGATTCTTTTCTTTGTATATGCCGCATGTCGAGCCATCTGCTATGTCACCGACGTCGCGATTCTGGCGATTCGTACGGGGATATTCTTCTACCTCCTGACCTTCGCCACGTGTGGCGATGCGGGACGGCGTTTACTAAGGACGAACTAGTAAGGAGGTGCTAGTAGAGTCAAAGCTGAATGTTTTACGGGAGGTGTACTGTAAAGAATAAGCTATGAAACTTAAATCTAAAAGCCACCATCATCTTACTTCTAACCTAGTCTTTCCCTAATTCGCTGACTGAACACTTTCTAAACTAATAGAATAATCCGACTCTAGATTAAAGGAGCCCTCTACATCCCCGAGGCCGCGTAATAACCACGACGTCTTTCTCCTTTTCCTATAGTATTTACCGCTTAGATAGGTTACCTTAGGGTCTCCATTAGTTCTACCGATTGCTACGGCGTACCTTTAGGCCTCAGGATGGCGATGACATCTTCCCCCTAGGAAGTTTCGAAGTTTCGCGCACCCACTACGTACTATACTATATCACTGTATCATCATACGAGAAGTAATGAAGTGTATTATACTATAGGATAGTGAGAGGGGAGTCTAAAATAGGTGTAACTTAGATATTCTATACGTCGGAATTAGACTACTTAATTTAAAGGGATCGAAGGGCGTATGTCGGTAATCAATTAAGGAACCTTCTGAGGCCATAACACCATAGCTACTCTACACGAAGTAAGATTATAATTTCGTAGCGAGTAGCATCCGCCATCCGAGGTCGACCCCCGAGCGTAGCTAGATCCATTCCTGAGGCTATTCCATCGGTCGATACCCTAGAGCGGACGGGGTCTCGATATGGATTCCCCAGAAAGCTAGCTAATCTACATTTACCATTTCCTCCTCCTCATCACATATCTGGAGAGCCGTCTTGATGAGGACGGCGGCATTAAATGCTTCTTATAGTAAATCTAAGGTAACGCGTAGGTTTCTCTAGTGGTATGAAATCTGATATCGTAACGTCGATATTTCTTTTTCTAACCTCTCGATCGTGATTAATTCCTCCCTTCTCTAGAAGTCGTCTATTCTTCTAAGTAACGCTTCGATAGATAGGTCGTCGTCGTAGTTAGAAATGCTGGGCGAGTCCGGCGCTTCTTTATCTATGTTAGTTTATTAGAGTTAGAAGTAGATGATTTTAAGAAGATTTAGTAAAGTGCTCTTAGCGATCATTAAAAGGCAGATAGGGTAAGCTACTCGTCTTTATATTTAACGACTGAAGTAGGTAATCTAGCGAGAGATACCTGAAGAGGATCCTGGAGCTCGATTCGGCTCCTTAATCGTAATTCATACGAACTATATATATTAAAGGTCGAATTATTTAAGTGACTCTCTAGCACTAATTCTATCTTCGTACATAATCTTTTAACATTACCGCCGTATCAGGAGTAGTAGTACTTTAACTTTCCGTCCGCACTGTCCTCGGCCATTTTATTATCGTATATAGACAGCATCATACTTCAATAAATCCCTTATTTCGGGTAAATATACAATCATTAAACGGTAACGTAATATTGTACGGTTGTAGTATAATCATCTAGCTACCTTAATAGTTCCGTTAAAGGGGAAGCGGGAAGAAGAACGACGATGCCGGCGAAGTAGTAGCTAGTCCTCTAACATACATTAGTGCGATTAAAGGGGTAGCCTCTTACGTTAACGAGATCAGTCCGTAAGAGGTGATCGCGGATAGTCCTAATTTTTGGAGATCCCGAAGTCTATCACCTAAACCTTTAGGATATACTCTACGAGCTGGCGGTGGAGAAGGCTTAAAGAACATCTAATCTTAATGCGGCTCGGTTACATAACTAGGTTAATTGGAGAGAAACGGACTGTACTTATGTATATCTCACGCATGAGGATTAACGTCGAGGAGATCTATAAATACTAAATGTTCTACTTGTACTTTATAAGATGCTACACCATTTGCGTATTAAAAGGCATAGATTCTAGTATAGGCTACCTAAACTATCTAAGACCCCTTCTAGTTACCGGTAACGAAGGGAGTGCAGAAGAGAGTTTATCGTCGATACTTCTACGGTTAAAAATCGTCGCTCTAACATATAAAAGTCGGTATTAGGGCCACGAGAATCTATGTTAGTACAGCCGCTAGGGATACTCTCGATTACGTCCTAACGCCGGTAAAGAGGCCGATGAAGGCCGACGTAGTAGTGGCAGAGGTACTCGTACTCTAGCTTAAGCTAAGAGGCGAGTTACCGGTAGTAGATGGTGACGATGGCGACGTAAAAGGCCCGCCAGACGAAACCATAGTCGCACTCGTCGAAGGGGGAGTAGTGACGGGGATGCCGTTAGTATGAGAGGGAGGAATAGTCACTCTAGAAGTAGCATTAGCTACGAATGGATTTAACGCGGTGTAAGAGGTGGTAGAGGTGCTGGCGGCGGTCAGACTAACGACTATAAAACCGTAACTACTAGTTAAGTTTATGATGCCGGAGCCGACTAGGCCGTTAAATTAAATCTTAACGGTAGCCTCTAGTAGTGCGCTGGAAGTATTCGTCTAGATAAAGCTCCTCGATATATAGGCCGTTAGTGTGATGATCCCGATGTCATTTTAAAATGTATCTATAGAGGCCCTCCCCAGGGAGAAGGTAAGAGTGAGGAAGATAGAAACCTAGGTGGTAGTACGTAGTAGCATAGTTAGAGAGGTCATTAGGAAAATAAGTATTAGGAGAGGGGACATTATCTACCGTAACCTTTATAGGGAGGAGTCCCGAATAGGATCCTTAAAAGGTAGCGTCTATGAATAGAATGGCGACCGTAACGAGAAGGAGCTATAACGGGCTCCTCATCTACTACTATATTATAAAATATAAAATAGCCATCATTAGGGGCGCTTTCAACTAGTTAAGTATAACCCTAAAAAAAGATGGTAAAGTAAAAGGGAGAATAAACTAGAAAGGAGAGAACGATATAGCGACGAAAGAGAAAGCGAGGCTAGCTTAATAAAACATTTAAACTCTAGTAGTTATGCGGGTTTGAGTTTACGGCATACCTTCGTAATCCTAATAGCGGGTAAGTGACGTTTTTTCAGACGCCTAATGGAGGATCGTTACCATGTAGCATCGAAGATCTTATAAGGAGCCCGTTAACCTAATCTACTATAGACGATAGGTACTAAATCTCGTTTAGAAGTCAACTAATCCGCAAGCCGAGATACTATCCCTAAAGGATTTTAAGTACGTTAGGGGGAAGGGAGATACTCGAGTAAAACTAAGGCTAGGAGCGAGGTGTCACGAACCGCCAAGTATAACCTACACGTGACAGCCCCTTATTATTTAAGTACCGCATACTCACCGCCTAAGGGAAGCTTCCTTCCCTCATGCTTTAAGTTTCAGTTAAGATATACTATTAAGGAATACCTATACCTACCTATACCCATCGCTACCCTCTACCTATCTCCATAGGCCGTTCCTGACATTCTTAAAGCATCCCTCAAGATCGGTCGGAGGGAGCGACGTCCCGGCGCGTCGCACGCGGTACGATGGCGCCTAAGAGGGCGACCCGCTAGGAGCCTTATATAGAGGGAGGACCGTCATAACCTACTACGGGGAGCTTAACGGAACCTATAATGTAAAACGATCCTACCCCCGACGAAGAAGGGGATATAGACGACGACCGCGAATCGCAGCCGGGTCGCGTAACACCCGCAGTAGAAGAGTTAGATATAAACCCCGAGGCGGACTTGGAGCTATAGGCGCTCCTCCGGAAAAGAGCCCTACTAGTAGATACCCTTAAGAGGTAAAGATTAAGGCTCGAGATCGAAGCGATGGAAGTAGAGGTCGTAGGAGAAACTCCTACGGTATACGCGGAGGTAGAAGGCACCTCGCTACCGACTCGCAAGCGACCCTACCGTAATTCGTCCCTAGATAAAGATCGCGACGAACTATAAAGAGTAATACGTATAGTCAAGCCTAAACTCTTTACGAGTAAGTCTATACAGTAACTCTACGCCTTCGATAGTAGCTGGTAGACGATCTTCGAGTCGCTAGCGAGCGACGTAGTCCCGGACTGGCCGTAGCGCATCCAGACCGCAGCTAATTATCTCGAGGGCCGCGCCCTTGATAAATAGCGACGAGACCGGCGGGAAGGAAACCCCATCCCGCTGACATGGGACCTCTTTATCTCGTGGTGTAAGGATATAATCGAAGACGCCGACGTCCGTAAGGGAGAAGTACTCGAAAAGCTGGGAACCCTTAAGTAGGCCGCATTATAATCGGTCAGAGACCTAGTATATGAAATGATACTATTAGAGGATGAAGTCGGCCCTCTCACCGAGGACGAGAGAAAGGGCTAGGCACTATTCCACGCTCTGGCGCCCCGCCTGCGAGACGCAGTTCGGCGGGACCTTAAGACTATCACGTCGCGAGCCCAGGTCCTCGCCTCGGTACAGAGGCTCGAAATAGTAGTCTTAAAGGAAAGGTAAGCGGAGCGTACGCGGTCAGCGCGCTCTACGCCTACTAGTTCAGGTGGGTAAGCCCAGTCGACAACGCGCCAGACCCCTCGGCGATCAGCCCAGGAACCGTAGGCGAAGCGCGACCGAGAACCGTCTCCCCTCATGAAAAAGGCGAAGCATCAGGTGAGAGCCGTACCTGATACCTTTAGCGGGGAGTGCTACGCCTGCGGCCAGCGAGGACATAAGGAAAAGGATTGTCCACGCCCTAAACCTACGACCGCCGCCGTAGCGTAGGCGAAGCGTACGGGCGACGCAGGGAAGAATGAGGATAAGAAAAAGCTAAAAAAATAGGACCTAGCCTACTAGGCGCCGTAGCGGCGCTAGGTCTAGATCCGGCGAAATCCTTAAAGTCCCAGGAACTAGGCTGGGGAAATGGCTAAGTACTAGTTATGGAGGTAGAAATCTACACCCCTATAGGAGCTTAGAAGGCCCGCGCGCTACTCGACAGCGGGGCGGAGAAGAGTTTCATATCCTACCTCCGGGCGGTAGAGTGGCGTCTACCTAGCGAAAGGGCGGAGAGAAGCGTACGAACTATAGGCGGACAACCGCTGGAAGTTTATGGTGAGCACTAGGTTAATACCCAGGTTAAGGACGCCCTTAGAACAGTCAAGATGAAGAAATACCGATACCTAGCGGTCAAGCTCGTAGAGTATGACCTTATCCTAGGCTATAACTAGCTAAAGGAGGTTAACCTAGACATTAACTGGGAATTGAGTGCGTGGTACTATCGAGACGTACCCGAACCGTAGGTATTAATAGTAGGCGTTAAGAGACTCTTAAAGGAGGCGAAGGACACTACTATTAGCCTCCTCTAGGTATAGCTAGCCCCCTTAGAAGGGTAAAGAGGCGTAACCGTTACGCTTACGGGACTTACGTAAGAGCCCCAGTTACCGCCGCAGTTTACGAAGTTCGCTACGGTATTCGGAGACCCAGACGAAGACCCAGCTCCTTCTCGGACGAAGGTAAGGTACTTCATTCCACTTAAAGAGGGGTAGACAGCGCCCTACGGACCTATATACCCTTTAAGCGCGAAAGAACTGCGAGTCCTACGCGAATACATCGAGACCGCGATAGGTCGAGGATGGATTTAGCCTAGCGAGTCCGGAGTAGGCGCTCTAATCCTATTCGTACCTAAGAAGGATGGTAGCCTACGACTCTACGTCGATTATCGTAAGTTAAACCGAGTAACTAAAAAGAATCGATACCCCTTACCTCTCATCCCTAAGATCCTGGATCGACTCGTCGGGGCTAGAGTATATACGAAGCTAGACCTGAAGGACGCTTATCATCGTATACCTATAGCGGAAGAAGACCGCTAGAAGACTACGTTTCGTACGCGATACGGGCACTTCGAATATCTAGTTATGCCCTTTAGATTAACGAACGCGCTAGCATCATTCTAAGTCTATATTAACGAGGCTCTTAAGGGTCTCTTAGACGAGGTCTATATCGCGTTTATAGACGATATCCTAATATTTAGTCCGGATGAAGCCGTATATAAAGCGTATATAAACCTCGTACTGGAACGCCTAAAGGAGTATAGGCTATACGCGAACTTATCGAAGTGTAAATTCTTCACTACGGAGGTAGACTTCCTAGGTTTCCGCGTAGGAACCGTAGGAATATTAATAGACCTTAGTAGGGTATCCGCGATATAGGAGTAGCTAGTCCCTAAGACCTTTAGAGATATCTAAGTATTCCTAGGGTTCGCTAACTTCTACCGAGGGTTTATCTACCGATATTCCGCGGTAGTAGCCCCCATTACGGATCTCTTAATAGGTATAAAGGTAGGGAAAAAGACTGGAACTCTTATATAGACCGAGGAAGCGGACGCTGCGTTCCGTACGCTGAAGGCGCGCTTCTCGGAGGCCCCTATACTAGCGCATTTCGATCCTAAGCGAAGGAATAGGGTCGAAACGGATGCCTTAGGCTAGGCGCTTAGGGGAGTGCTATCCTAAGCGTACGAGACGTAGGGGGGACGTACGCGATGGCACCCCGTAGCGTTCTACTCGCGGAAGATGACTCCCGCGGAGAAGAATTACACTACGGGGGATGCGGAAATACTATCGATTATATACGTATTTAAGATATAGAGATATTACCTTAAATCGCCTACGGAAAGTACGATAGTCCTTACTAATTATAAGGCGCTTTAATGCTTTATAACTATTAAGGTCCTGAATCGACGGTAGATACGTTAGGTAGAGGTCCTAGCGGTATACGACTTCCTAATTCAGTAGAGGCGCGGAAAGGATAACCCCGCGGATAGGCTCTCCCGCCGTCCTAACTATATAGTAGAGGAAGAATAACCCGTAGTAAATACTCTTACGGAGCTACTACGATTACGTATGCCCCTCGTAGAGGATGCGCCTAAGGGTCGTATAAGGCGCGGCGGCGAAGTTATCGTTAGCGTTCTTACCCGAGCGGAGACTCGGAGGCGATTAGGTCCTAAGGAGAGTGTATATAATATTATAATACTACCTACTCCCGAGGTAGAGGAAAGGGTAAACCTAAGCGGGTAAGAGGCGGCTAACCTACGGACGCGTAGAGAAGCGCTTACGGACCGTATAAGAGAATTATAATTACTTAATGAATAGTATTAGGACGCTCCGTAGAAACGGGAGCTAAATGAATATATTAAGAAGGGCGAGTTCTCTAGTACCTAGAGTATCGATAAGGATAGGCTAGCGCGTCGCGGGGGCTACGTATACGTCCCGTATAATCCTATAACCCGGGGAGAAATCCTCTAGATTAACTATGATAATCTATAGTAGGGCGGGCATTTTAGCGAGTACCGGACGGTAGCGAATCTTATACGATACTACTAGTAGCCGCATATACGTCGCGATATATAAGAGTATATTAAGACATATAATGTATATTAACGGATGAAAGTATTAAGGTAGAAGCCGTATAGGAAGCTCTAATCGTTACCTATACTTAAGGGTCCCTAGTAAGATATTTCGATAGACTTTATCGTAGGCTTACCGCCTTCGTTATATAACGGGATCGCCTACGATTCGATACTAGTTATCGTTAATAGGTACTCGAAAATGGTAATCTTTATACCTTATACGAGTACTATTAACGCTTAAGGCCTAGGCTAAATAGTTCTAGAAAAGGTAATAGCGAAGTATAGCGCGCTTAAGTTAATAGTTAGCGATAGGGGGTCTCTATTTACGTCGACGTAGTTTAGAACCCTATACGACTACCTTACGACTCGCCGCCTATTCTCTACCGCTTTCCATCCGTAGACCGATAGTCAGACGGAGCGTATAAACTAGATACTTAAAGTGTACCTACGTTACTATGTAAACTATAAGTAGACTGATTAGGCTACGCTACTCGTAAGCGTAGAGTACGCGATGAACGCAGCCTATAGTGTAACTACTAGTAAGACTCCGTTCTCCTAGGTACTAACGTTCGAGCTAGATATATATCTTAATATATAGGGAGTGACGCCTTAAAATGAGCTCGCGCGGGACCGGGCTAACCAGCTCGCGGACTCCCTACTATAAGCCGGCGAGGCGTATAATATAGCTAAGCGGTAGATAGTAAAAATGGCTGAACATTACGATAAAAAGCGAACGGAGATATTCTTTAATATTAGGGATAAAGTTATAGTCTCCTCGAAGAATATCCGTATACTACGCGTAAGTAGAAAGCTTACGGATTAGAATATCGGACCCTTTATAGTCCTAGAACGCATTAGGAGGAATATTTATAAGTTAGACTTACTTAAGAAGTATAGTTAACTATACCCTATATTCTACGTATCCCTACTATATACGTATCGTAGGCGGTCCGGGAGAGAAACCCCCGAGCCGGTTAATATCGACGACGAGGAGGAATAGGAAGTCGAGTAAATCCTCGCTATAAGAGAACGATAAGGAAGACTAGAGTACTATATCCGATGGAAGGGGTTTAGCGAGGCCTACGATAGCTGGGAGCCTAAGGAGTACCTACGGAACGTACGGGGGAAGCTAGACGAATTTCATCGAGAATAAGTATAGGAGTAGAGAATAAATTATCGTTTCTAATAGCTAAGGCCATAGCGACCCGTATACGGATCTCTTACGCCTCGTACGAGTAAGGTAAAAAATACATATACGAACTGATGAATGGCCGGCTTACGCTCTAACGCTCGGAGGCGAATCTACTGCGGTACGAAACTCCGATTCCCCTAAGGGAGCCTAAGCCGAAGCGTACGCGGAACGTACGTAACTTAAGGGCGATGCCTTCCTGACACCTAACTAACTACCCGTAGGGAGCTTACTCCGCATCGGAGCCCGAATCCTCGTCGGGCTACACCCGAGCCTCTAAGTTATTCTAAAATTGTCAGTACGCGAATAGGGTGCGGGAAGCGTACGGTACGTACTACCTCCCGGTAGGAGTCGACCGCGGCCCGTACGGCGTCGATAAGGTAGGCTAAAAGGGGTTTAAGCTAGCCGCCGCCAGTACCCGTAGCACCCGTACTAGAACCGCGGGCGGAACGTATACGGCCCCTAATAGTAAGACTACCCGCCGACTTACGGGCTACGTCGGTCTCGACGAGCCGGAGCTCGGCGTCGATAACGTCGGCCTCGCGCTGGATGGCGGTAACGGCGGGCGCGCTATCCTCGCCCCTCGCGTAGGCGAGGTTAGCGGCCTACAGGCTATTCGTACGCGAAACGAGCGAAGGAGGAATCTGAAATTGTTAGCCTACGGTACGTATACGGACCGCATAGGACTTACCGGTACGTAGCCTAAGCGGCTACCGCGCTTACCCTTACTATAATAAGAGTAGTTAGTAGAACGACGACCCGTCTCGATTATAAAAATATACTCGATCTCCCGCCCCGCCGCATTACCTACGGCCCGTAGGCGGCGTAGGTAGCGGTAGTAGTAGGAGCCCTTAGCCTTCGCCGTCTTAGCCCGCTTAGAGGGAGAGGGGGCGGGGGGCGTATCGTTAGGGACTACATCATAAGTTAGTAGCGAACCGTATGCGAATCGCATAACTTACGGGGGCGCCGTAGAGGACGGTTATCCCTAGGATCCTCGGCCCCACCGCCGGTAGCGACCGGGGTCGCGGGGCGATCGGTAATGGGGGCAGTAGGGGTAGTAACGGCGGTAGACACTATAGCGGTTAGTACGCGGACCGTAATAGTTACCGCAGTATATACTGTTAGAGGAGTAGGAGAAGAGCTTAAATTATAGGGACTGCGACACGAATGTTAGCCGCGGCCTCCTCGCATGCGAATCCGTCGAGGATCGCCGGAACTTACTCTAATAAGAGGGTACGAGAGTAGGGAGCTTTACTAATTATCAGTATATGCGTTTCGCATACGGAACGAAGGGGAAAAGTACTTATATAGTGGTTGTTGTTGTAGTTATTATAGATAAGAAGGAAGAAGGAAGAGAAAACGAAAACGAAAGGAAAATAATAATAAAGGGCCACTAGTACGATACGACGGTGAGGTCTACTAGACCCATATTAATAATGGTCGAGTACGGCTCGCACGCTATACGCATACGGCTACCCCTTTAACAGTACGGAGACACGAACGGTATGAGGCCTACCTGTAGGACACCCCTAGGGGCATGAGGACGCCGCCTAGGGATAGGCCTACTACTATAGGAATTAATCAATCTACATTTACGGAGCGTAAATAGAGGATGCGACGACGAGGTTAAATAGATGCGGACCGCACGCGACCCTTAAGATGCTGTAAAAATTATGCGAGTATGCGAGACGCCTACGGTACGCGGGAGGGGAATCCCCAGAAACTTCTCGAGGACGAGAAGCTTAGGGGGGGGATAATTATCACGAACCGCCAAGCATAACCTATACGTAACAGCCTCTTATTATTTAAGCACCGTATGCTCACCGCCTGAGGGAAGCTTCCTTCCCTCATGCTTTGAGTTTCAGTTAAGATATACTATCAAGGAATACCTATACCTACCTGTACCCATCGCTACCCTCTGCCTATCTCCATAGGCCGTTCCTGACACGAGGTCGAGGCGTAGTTAAAACGCGTAGGGCCATAACTAGAATAAAGCCGCGGTAAAGGGGAGAGGAAAGTAAGTTTCCCTCTATAAGACTTCGTTACCGGACCCACCGTCCTTTAGAACTCCCAGCCCGAGGGATAAAAGATTCCCGTTTAATATAGAGTAGAATAAGTTAAATCTCGTGGAGTCTGGGCTCCCGGAGGAGCTGGATCTAAATATAGTCCTATAGACACTAAGTTAACTAGCGTTATTCCTAGAAACCTCTACGATCTTACCATTATCCTAAGGAGTCCTACGTTCTAAGCTATCATCGATTTACCGCCTAGAGAATGGACCCGTAATCTATATTTAGCTATACTGATAGGATACTAGTAGTCAGCTTTACTATCATCTACACTTTGGATATAGAGCTATCGTCTAATAATCGGCTGGAGTCGAAATAGGCTATCTCGCGATGTGATTATGAGGCCTAAGTCCTGGACTAATGGGGCTAGCGACCTGTCGTTCGGGATACCTAGACATCTAACCGCGAGAACTTCAGTCGGCGCTTGACCGTCATGCGAGTGTAGAAAGGAGTGGGAAGGAGAGAAGATTCTAACTCTCGTACCGTAGCTTAGGACACTTACGTCCATTTCTAAGTAATATTAACCTTCACTACTAATTGATATTCACTTCGAAGCGACACCTACCGCCCCTCTCTAAGTGATATGGAAATCTAGTCTTACGTCATCCTCAGTCGACGGCTACCTCTTCCTTTAGGAAAAGGGTAATATCGTTATCGATACTAAGGTCAATGTCTCTCTTATCTCCAGTCACAATACCGAGCTGAAAACGCCTCGAGGGAGTCCCTCTACCTGGAATACAGTGAACTGGGGCGAGGCTCTTCGCTAGAGGTATCAACTCGTACGGCGGTGGGCATGGTAGTAGGGGTAACGACTATCGCAGTATAATAATGATAATAACATAGAAGGTCCTGATCAGATAGGTTCCATAACTTAATAGATAACTTGATTGCACTTAGGGATTCTCTTATTGTTACTTACATGTCTTGTCCATTTCTGAGAAAAAAGAAAAAGAAAAAAATGAGGACCTTAGACTTGATGCACCCACTAACTAATGATTAAGGGTGCCATCCTGTACATTATATAGGTAAATTCCACTAATTACGTTCTAGCTTACCTTTTTCCCCATTACAATAGTAGACATTATCTTAAGTTTCTCCCTTATCATCCTCCATTTTAGCATCACTATCTACATTCTTATAATAATCATTAAACTTCCATTTTAGTGTCTACTTCTTATTCTCCAGCGTCGTTCGTAGGAGTACCTAACCCCAGGTGAGCGTTATTTAGCGGGTTAATTCTTTAGTTATATTACCCTTTACATTGTAGCCGTAATGGTCGCATTTGATTTCGATACGGAATGGCCTCTCTATATGGCTTTCGTTACGGCGGTAGCAGCGGGTCTGAGGTATCTTACTATAACCGAAACACTCTTTAGCGTACAGCTATAGAGTAGGCGATTAATATCTATCATTAGGAGTAGAGAGGGAAAGGATACTTACGCTATTTACATCGTCATCGTTAAGCTATGACGTCTCATTCTTAACTCTCCATTTTTGAAGGAATTTAGGTCGAGGTCTGGACACAATTTTATTTCGAGGTTCAGAGTCTTGAGACATCTTGATGGTGGAGCCTGTGTAACCTGTAGGTCAGACTCTATGAGTGATTTATGACTGTTTTTAGGTACTTCAAATATTTATATCCCATTTACTAGGGCTGGGGCAGGAGCAGGATATACCTAGGTCAGGGGTTCGATTCGGCAGGAGCAGGGTCGCCTTTTTTTTTTTTCTTTTTTTCTACGCTACAAGTTGGCAAATCAATCATAGAGATACAGCGGCCCAGTACGGCGTTGCCTAGGCTTTACTATAGATAACGCTATAAGTTTAGCGATCGAGTCAATAGAGATACGGCGGCGAAGAATGGATCAGGCGAGGCTTTACTACAGACAGCGCCGCAGGTGAGTGATCGACTACCGTCTTCGATAATTGGCTGTTTTTAGATCGCCTCTCAGCAGATCTTCGCTGCACACTGGCGAAAACGCCTACCGCCATGCGCTGGCGGCGTACACTATTACCATGCGCTAAGCATAAGAGCATTGAAGATCGCATTGACGTCGCCTCCGGCCTTGGTTAGTCTGGTTTACGGCCCCAGCGGAGGGTTGATTATCCTTGCTGTAGACGCGAGCGGACGGGGGTGGGGAGCCGTAATCATGCAGGTCGACCCAGCGACAGGAGAACGCAGACCTGCGAGGTACGAAAGCGGAATTTGGATCAAAGCAGAGCTTAAGTACGATGCCCTCAAGAGAGAGGCTCGAGCATTGCTCAAAGCCCTCAAGAAGTTCAAAAGATGGTTATATGCGGTGCGTTTCGTTGTGGAAACAGATGTAATGACCCTCGCTGCGTAGCTTAACCGACAATCGACAGACTTACCCTACGCTATCGTCAATCAATGGCTAGCTTGGATTCGGAAATTCGATTTCGAAGTTCGACATGTACTAGGGAAGAAGAACGTCGTTGTGGATGCTCTTTCTCGCGCCTACGGAAGAGGACCTAAGAGATGCTGAAGAGGAAGAAGAGATCGACGACTGGATTAAAGCGAGGATGCTTATGCTTCGAGGCAGACTTCGTCCGATCAAGTGGAGTACTGCTCGTCGAGACTTCGCGATGGTCCGGACGGTGGTGGCTCGTATAAGAGATAGATCTGTGGATCTACTTAAGTCGCGCGTAGTTTAGCTTTTTAAAGATGAATACTCCGAAGATTCGAAGTAATGGCGAAATACCTGGCGGCCAATAACGACAGGGGTTGATTAACCGATACGACCCGGTCGACCTAATATGCAAGAAATGGTAAGAACGCTGCGAAGAGCCTCCATTCCGTTCGCTCTGGGTTGCGACTTTTCATGTGAAAAATAATCAGGGTTCACTAAAGACACCATACTAGTCTAAGGGACCTGGTGGATAACTAAGCTTTGAGGGCAACACTACAATGCTTAATTCCCTCCACACCCGTCAACTTTTGGCCCCGACTACCTAGTTAGGCTCCAAAAGGACGAATACTCCAACGCATGCTCAACGTTCGAGGGTTTCAGCTCGTACTAGATTATTACACTACTACGGAGCGCCGCTCATCGCTACTATTCGATCCTGATTTCTATATGCATCGAAAGCCTACGTAAGCTGCAGTTCTATTTACATCCAGTTACGCTAACTTACATCGGGCAATGGTCAGCCGAAAAGGGCGCGTGGAAAACTCGGCTAACCTTAGTCGACTACGAACAGTACCGTACCGCAGTTAGTGAAATTGACTACGGTTTAAGATACCCAGCGAGTATACTTTTCATAGTCGTCGCCAGCTGAACCTAAGGAGCTAGGTGACTAATATTTCACGCTTAATAGTAGTTAATGGACCTATGGTGTCCGGGCAGCATAACCTTAGCTACGGGAGCGAAATCGCAGAAGGACCTAGTTATCCTATAAGTTCCTGATGGTATGACTAGAATTATATAGTATAGATGTAAATAATATCTGAATCTCATTAAGCATAATCCGGTACTAAACCTATAATACATTCCACTAAGATAACCGGCCGGCGGTTTCACTACTAATTCCACTAGTGAACAGGAGCTTTAGATGAAGTCATCCTCTAAGGTAGAACATCACGACGGAAGCATTCCGTAATGTCTATTATCCGTAATGATGTAGATATAGACGCGATATTACCTTATAATAAAATCTCCTAATTTAGCGAGGTATAAAAGACGGTTTAGTCATGCGATTAACTTATGGAGCTTATTACTACTCTTCAAACGTATTTAAGTACGTTAGCGTCTAGGTCGACAATCCATAATCACCATAGAGTAGCTCCTTTCGCCGGCCCTACTCTATCCTAGGGAGCTTAACCGTAAGAGGTGCTTCTATAGAGTGATCGGGGAGATGGTTCTCGTAGATATAATAGTGTAACTCTAGGACCATTACTAGTAGAGGCTTCTTCGGTTGAGACTATACTCGTTTCTGGACGCTACATCCTAGCCGTAAATAGACCCCCGGGATCGGTTCTTCTCCCGGGGCGATAGGATGATTTCTCTAGTAAGCTGAAGACCGAAGCTTATGGTAAAGGGTACATCTATGCCTAAACGCGGGTGGCTTAGAGTATCTCTTTAGACTAGGGATAGATCTCGGATCTTCAAGCTCGATAGGTTGCCGATTCATATGATGAGGTTAGTCACTAGAAGGCATCCTACTGATGGAGGATTTATCTATCCTACACTTCGAAATTCCTATTATAACTATAACGCCCATACTCCACCGTATTTCACCTGCGTAGTTTCTTAAAGAGAGATAATTTAGCCTAGATCCTAAGAAGAAATAGACTGTAAGAAACGTTAATTACCCTAGAGGGATCTTATCGGGAGCCTAAAACGTAAACTAGATTCATACTAGATTAAAATTAGTTCCCTAAGGGTCGCGCTTAGAGCCCGTTTAAGTCTCTTCCATTTATCTCGTTCCTTTCCTCGCTTACTACTTAAGAGTCTAGATTAAGCTCTTCTTATAGGATGACGATTACTTATGATGTCTTAAAAGCATCCCGTCTTATATACCTCACACCCTTAATACTATAACTCGTAGTAGCATTTAGGCTTTTATAATGGTACGCTGTCATTACAGCGATTAGCTCACCCTCCGCATCGAACGAAATGAAGTCGTCTTGTACATCTCGGATCGGCTTCAAACGCTTATTAACGACACTCCCAGTCCTGACCTTCAGCAGCCCAGCCTATTAGTCTTCATCGGCTATACCGCTAAATCGTCAGCCCTTCGATCGCTCAGTATAGATAGGAACAGGTAGAAGTCGGCAGGTAGACGGAAACGAGGCGGCGGAGTACATCTCCATTTAGGAAATCCCGATGTATTTCAGGACGTGCCCGTACTTCTAGCGGATGGCGACCTCCCGTACCGGGACCTGAAAAAAAAGTCCTCGGTCTAATGCCACGAGATAAGATAGTTGACGCTTCCTCGCATCCGCGGAGGCGTCTAGGATCGAGCTTTAGAAGATGCCGCCGATCGTCTCTATTCCCGTCTCTTAGGTGCTTTTACCGACGTCTTTTACTTCTTTTCCACCGACATCGGCGGATTTAGCCCCGTAGTACGTCGACTCGCGTCGTAGCTCGAGAATGGTAAGCCTACGACACTACCGAAGATAACGTATCTACGGATAGTCGTCGTGATGGAAGCTATAGACCCTAGCGTCGAAAGGGATAAGGAGGCCGTAGAGGTCCTTTTAGGCGAACTAAGAGAGGAGACGACTAAAAACCCCCTAAAGATGGTGTCAGCTCTCGAAGTGGTAACCATACCCTAGGGAGGGTACTGCTACCGGCGCCTAGAGGAATACTTGATCCGGGTGCTGAATTAAGGTCGAAGGCATAAGGTCGAAGTAAGGACGCTTTTCTCTGGGAGGCACCTAGCAGTATTCTTCAAATATGCGAGTGACTACTTTAGTAGAACTACTAGGGAGCCATTCGATTTCGTAAGAGCGTCGCGCTTGCTAAATCCTGTCGCGCCGGACTTAGACATACATCTATCTAACTTCCTGAAGTACATCAAATCGCCTTAAGAGCTGATGGACTTCGCGGTGCTAATAATTACGTCGAGCCTCCTACTGGATCATTACCCTCCCGGTATATATAGTAAGTCTAAGCTCTTTTCAGTACGTAGCAGGCTTGATCTGACGGCCGCGTAGCGTTTAACCCCGGAGATGTATTTCAGACCCTATATAAAGACGCCTACTATTGAGTAGGTAGGAGCGGTGTACTTATGTACGACGGCTCCATAAACTTACTCCTTCCGTCGGGTTTCGTCTAAGCTATCCCGGAGCAGCTGCAAAAATATTTCGAGGACTTTATACGTGGCGCCGGTACGCCGTCTAAGACGATCCATTATAATAACCTCAAGAGGTTTAAGCTTCGCTGGAAGCGGGTGCGAAGCGATGACCTCTGTT